AATCTACTACTGCAAAAAAAAAAGTGTGGCATAAGTGTACAGAGACAATTTGGAGCAACTGTAAATACACACTGAGGCAATTATAAGCACTCACACACATGCTCATTCACTCAAACACACACACACACACACACACACAATAGAGAAGCAGGAATGCACTGCATGTGCAAGAACACCTCTTCCCCAACAGGACGTCACAGACAGAGAGGAGAGCAGCTCTACACACACACACACACACACAGGTCTATGGGCTAATGCATCAACCACAGCACAGATCCACAGGCTGTGGAAACACAAGTCTCATCACATATGCAGACTGGCACATCAGGTCCTCCTGTGGTCTCTCAGAGCAACATACATCCCAGCAGACCAGAATCGGGGGCGGACATCCTCAGAAGGCCCGGGGACACCTCACCCGGAGGTGGAGGAGTCGAAATGCGAGAGGTTCGGCCCAGTGGGCCTCTGGGAAGTCATCAGCTGGTTGTATGATTCCTCCATGGGGGTTGGAGATTGAGACCTGCGATCGACCAGAGTTCCCATGTGGCATCTGGCAGTGGTTGCTAAAGGTCTTCAAACCTTTAGAGTCGGCTGAGGCCAAGAACCTTTCACTCAAGGTAGCTTTCATCCTAGCAATCACTTCTCTTAAAAGAGTAGGATATCTTCAGGCCCTCTCTATATCTTCCGAGTGCCTGGAGTTCGCCCCAGGAAGGGTTAAGGTTATTTTGTATCCCAGGCTGGGCTTGTTCCTAAGGTGCCTTCTACCGTGGCACGGTCTACGGTTCTGCGGGCTTATCATCCTCCAGCTCACATGACGGTGGAAGATGAGAGACTTTATCTGCTCTTCCCTGTCAGAGCTCAAAAAACGTATGTTCAGAGGTCTTCTCTATGGCGAAGGTCAGACTAGTTGCTGGTGTGTTTCGGGTCGCCCCGCCTCCAAACAGACCAAACAACTGGGCAATATCCCTGGCCTATCAGGGGTGCAATTAACATTCATGGCCGTGAGGGCTCATTCAACGAGAGGGATGGCGTCCTCTAGAGCCCTGCTCTCAGGGGCCCCGATCCAAGAAGTGTGTGATGCGGCTGGATAGGTCACCCCTCATACATTTACAAGATTTTATAGTCTGCACCTTCTTTTAACGCCAGGGGCACGAGTGCTCTCACACTAGGACAGGCGGGGTTCGTTGTGGCATAGTGGGTACTCGTTCCCTCGAAAGGGTTACGATCATAGACTGTAAAAAATATGGACAAAGCGTCTGTGACGTCACCCATAGACTCTCTGAAGAACGGGTTTGAGGCTGTTTATGGGGGGTATGGGCGGCGCCATACTGGAAAATCTTGGGAAATACAAAATAAGTTTCAGAAGAGATACAGAGGTGGTATGATGTGTTGTGTCAGATCATGGCCGAGACGTCAAATTCACTCGGCGCAGCGTTATCAGCTATCAATCAAAGTTAACCGCCCTTATTTGTCATACACTTTATATCTAAATACGATCTAAACTAACGAGTTAGAAAAAAATTCACCCCCCTCACAGTTGTCAGGCACACGGAATATATTGAAGATTACAATAAAAGTCCATGGGACCAAACTGTAAACATGAATTTAAGCTGTGAAAACGGACATTATAACATGACGTCTATGGATATTTGCTCCCTCTTGGGACCGCCCTCTAGAGGATTTGAGATGTACTGCAGTTTATCGCACTTCCGGGTAGGCTTCATCTTTCAGATGAGAATGTTGCCGCTTGGTTGTTTGGTTTATAAACGATTTTAAATTGTTACCTCACTGAAAAATGTAAAATCTACTAAAATTGCAAGGACAATGTATAGTGATATATCCAGGAAACTACTGTTTTGATTAATCTCCCTTGTGTGTGCCGCTCCAAATGTGATTTTCTATTTTGCCTTTGACTTGTGTGTTTTGTAGTAGCCCCTTCTTTGTTATTTTTTTTTTCTCTATTGTTGTTTTCTGCTTGGTTAATACTTTTGTACATTCTATCCCTTGCGAGAGTTACTTCTTGTCAATAAAAAAAAAAAAATGTTGCCGCTTGGTTACGACTGCAACCCTTGTTCCCTGAGAAGGGAAGGGGACACTGTGTCCCCCCATAAACACATTTTGGTACACATTGAAATGTTGCCTTGTGAAAGCGACCTGAACCAATCCAAATGTATATTATTGCAAAAAATGCTGAGAGAGGCATCCTGTTAAATGCACTAGTATTCCTGCAGGAGCCTGTCTCTGCTTGCCATGCACATAAAACACAAATTCCTGTGCACCGAGGATAATGTCTGATCACGTGTCCTTATGCTACGTTCACACCGGACGCGAATAGGGCGTCAGGCGCGAATGATTTCGATGTTAAGTCAATGCAAAGATGCTTTACGCACGTGAAAAATTCCTGCGGCGCGAATGAGCCGTGGAGCGCGGCGCGGAAGACGCGAATACGCCTCGTTCGCGCGAATTGAGCATCTGGCGCGTTAAGCGCGTTACGTGCGAATGTGCCATTTGTGCATTCACGCGTTTGACGCGAATTCGCGTCTGCCGCCCGAGTTGAAAAATCTGAACTTTGGCGTGAATTCGCACCGCGCTAACCAATCAGGAGCCTAGCTGCTTGCTCACGTGGTGAAGTGTCTGGATGCTTCAATAAATTATTTTGTTAATATGACTAGTGGGATTATGCACAACAAAGCAAATGTTTTATCACTTAAAACATTATTTCTATATACGAGACATGTTCATTTTGTATTGAATGTTATTCATTCCATAGCTAGATTATATAAAATAGTATTATGTTGTAAAGACAATCAACATATGTGCATAAATTCGTGTCTGGACGTGAGAGAAGAAAAAAAAAAAAAAAAAAAAAAAATCACAGGACAGGTTAATAACTTTTGAAGGCTGGCTCTATTTATCATCAAAACAAAAATAAATGACAGCTAGATTAGGTGGATGAGGGCGAGGGTGATCCTCGCTCCGATGCGGGACAACAGGTCATCAAACTGGGCGCGTGACAGGCGGAAGTACCGCTGACAGCGGTCGTCATCCAGCGCAGCTCCTGGAGCGAGCAAATGGTGAAACTCGTCAAACGGTTCGGCTCCGAAGGGTCCGGTGGACACAAATATACGGCGACGATGATCCCCACGCCGCTGTTCTGCTCTCCAGAGTAAATACAGAGCGGTAACTCTCTTGATGAATGCTCGGTCGACATAAAAACAATGGCCGCCAACGGATTTCGATTCTGACGCGCGTAAATTTCGCTTCAAACTTTTGTTTTTACGCGCGCCAGTTTCGCTCTTGACACGCGGAATACCACAAAGTGGTCAAGCGTCAAACTAGACGCGTCAGGCGCAAATTTGACGCGCGATTCGCGTCCGGTGTGAACGTAGCATTATATTTGCAGGCCTACAAGTCAAGCTTATTCTTATTCCATCACTCTAGCTTCAAGCTAGCTTTCCAACGCAGCCCTTAGGAACGAAACGGACTTATATTGTCCCGTTCAAACCCGGTCCTGTGGCTGGAGGAAAGGGGGGGATCGGTGAAGCCACACACACACACACACACTGGGACAGTGCAGGGTGAGAGGTCACATGTGAGCGGTACTAGCAGGAGTCAGAGGTCAGAAGTGATGTAATACTTGTGTAGGGTGTGTGTGTTGCTCAGACGGTGTAGACAGCAGAGAGAAGTCCATGGTCTGGCGTTTGAGACGAGCGGAGAGCGACGTCTCCTCGGAGTCAGTAAAGAAACGCAGAACGCTGGCAGAGTGACGGCGCGTGAAACCAGCCCGCTGAGAGCAGCAGGAGACACACAACCACAGGTTAGTACACACTAGGGCTGCACGATTAATCGAAATGAAACAGCTCGCGATTTGGCAAAGGCAGCGATTATTTAAATGATGAGTCGTAAAAGTACGATAACGCACATCATTCCAGGAAATCCCTATCGGGCATCATACTATACGCTTTGATTGATTCTTTAAATATGGTCTTTTATTGGACAAGAGGTTCAAATGCTTCTCATGTTTGACGCGAGCAGCGTTACAGAGACGCACATCAATGACAAGCTGCGCTAACAAATAATCACAATAATCCAAATCGGTTAAGCGCGATTTCATGTTAATTGTGATTAATCGTGCAGCCCTAGCACACACACACACAAACTCCCCCAAAGGTTAGTACAAAAAACACACACACCCTCAGGTTTTCACGCAGAGACACAGTTAGTACCCAAATACACACACACACATAGGTTAGCACGCACACAGACACACAGGTTAGCACGAACGCACACACTAAAACAGGTTAGCACACACACATATATCAACAGGTTAGCATACACACACACACACACACACACAGACAGTAATGGTCCATTAGTAGTACTGTACTCAGTCAGGTCATGTGGGCGGTACCTTGTCGAGGGGGTGTGGCTTGTCAACGCTGCGCTCTGATAGGCCGTTCCCGGAGTCTGTGCTGATGAGGGAGTAGCGCGAGTCCGTGTGCCGTACAGAGCTGACGCTCGGAGTGTGTGGAGACACTGACGAACACAACACACACTTCAACACACTGTACACACTCACTCTTCAGGGAGATTCAACCACATAGAACCACGTGAAGCCTGACATACGAAATAATACAACATTATCCACTGTAATGGGACAGTTGTGACCTTTAGTATAAAACAACATTGTTTGAAAAATGTGCACAAAATATAAAAAAATTTTTTTGGTGAGTATCATATTTGATACATCAGGCTTTTGACTGATATAATGAGAATATGAATATGAAAAAACAGTTTTATTTTATTGAGGCTCACATTGAGCCAAAATATGCAATTTGGTGCAGATATTTTTGTACATGGTCAAAAAGATAAATCATAAATCAATGACACTTTTATTACAGTATAGCAACTACTCGCACTCACTCTTCAGGGAGATTCAACCACATATAACCACGTGAAACCTGACATACGAAATAATACAACATTATCCGCTGTAATGGGACAGTTGTGACCTTTAGTATAAAACAACATTGTTTAAAAAATTGTGCACAAAATATGAACAAAATCAAAAGGTTTGCATGTGTTTTTTTGTTGAGTATCATATTTGATACATCAGGCTTTTGTGAGAATATGAATATGAAAAAACAGTTTTATTTTATTCAGAGGCTCACATTGAGGCAAAATATGCAATTTGGTGCAGATATTTTTGTATATGGTCAAAAAGATAAATCATAAATCAATGACACTTTTATAACAGTATAGCAACTACTCGCATAAAATCAGTCATCACTCTTTACCTGTCAATAATGTCTTAGTAATATGATATTCAAATGCTTAGTTTCATGATCAAACTCTGTAGTTTTAACACATATAATGCAGTGGAATACAACAATGATTGAGGGATGACCAAATAAACCTTCTTTAACATCCTGATGATCATATTTAATCTAATAAATGATGGATAATCAAGTGTAAAGCTGCTTCAGTAAATGTTCATCTTGAAATATTACTAACAATATCAAAGTTATTCTGGCGTTTCCTTGATAAAATCAGAGCAGATTTGACCCAGAAAGACACGAGTGTGTACAGTTACACTGAAGACTGTGAACTATCAGTCCGACACAGAAGGAGATTAGAAGAGGCCTTAGAAATGTGAGTATCAAACACTGTACAGTACAGTAGGCTTCATAAGGCTGATTTCCAGTACAGTTGTTTGTGATTGTGTGATGTTGCACAGCATTTTTAATTTCCAGTAACAGTGTGTTTGAACGGTCCTATAGTGTGTGGTGTGAGCACAGAGGGCCTCACCTGTTCCTGAAATCACTCCGAACACCTCTTTCTGCAGGCCGCTGTCCGCTGGACTGACCGAGGGTTTGGTGGGTGTCGTCATCACATGATCATCACGGCCGTTCTGAAGCCATACACAGAGGAATCAGAGTGAAGAACACTTCACTACACTGTTCATGACTACAGGAGGACTTTAAACACAGAGAATCAAATCGAACTGAATTAAAGCAACACTAGGTGTCAGTCTCACCATGTTAGTCTGGCTGGTTAGCGGAGCCGCGTCTCTGATGTTGAGTCTGTGGACGTTTTCCAGCATCAGACTGAACAGAGGCAAGTACAGCGTAGCCAAGCGAGCCTGCTGACCCTGAAACACACACATCTCGTATTTAAAGGTGCATTGTGTCATATTTAGGAGGATCTGTTGACAGAAATGCAATATCATATACATCACTGTGTATTCAGTGGTGTATAAAGTATACAATTTATTAGCTTAGAATGAGCTGTTTCCATCTACACACACCGCGGGTAGCCTTATTGTTTCTACGGTGGCCCTAAATGGACAACCGCGTTTCGTCACTATGAAAAAAAGCTGCGAATAAAACACTGACACAATGATGAACAAGTAACAATAATATTCACAATAACATATTGTTTTACGGTAAACCTAATATCTTAATTTATCTCTGTAACGAAACCTCAGCTGACTACTCTCTGCTGTCTCAGATGACGACATCACTTCCTGACGGCCAGCGTAAAGGGGCTTTCACACAGGACGCGGTATGCGCTGCGCTGGCTGCGCTATGCCGTATGATATTATATATGTGTGTGCGTGTACACATAACATCGAAATCAACACGAATCATGAGCTCAGTTCTTTTTTAGAATAAAACATTTATTCAAATAACAAACGAAGAAATTATACATATATTAAAACTAGGGCTGTGCAAAAGTTAATTGCGATTAATCGCATCCAAAATAAAAGTCTGTGTTTACATAATATATTTGTGTGTGCTGTATATAATTATTTTGTATATATAAATACACACACATGCATGTATATGTTTAAGAAAATGTGTTATTCCTATATAAAATATTTATATTTATATAATATAGATTATGTATTTATATATATATATATATATACAGAATTTAAGCGCAAATAATTCTTAAATATATACATGCATGCATAGGTATTTATATATACAAAATAATTATATACAGCACACTCAAATATATTATGTAAAACAGACTTTTATTTTGGATGCGATTAATCGCAATTAACTTTTGCACAGTCCTAATTAAAGCACACCTGACTAGCCAACTTGAATGGAGATATGTCTCCATGACACAGCTTTTCTGACTATGTCAAAACTGTATCGTACAGCTCAGGAAATTCCGACAGTACAAGCTGTTCATCCATTTTGATTTCCGTGTTTGTTTGGATGTCCCGTTTCAATTGGCTGCGCTGAAAATCGTCACAGAGCGCAGCGGAAAAAGTTAAACTATTTTGAACTTTGACCGTGGCGTGCGCGCGAGCAAGTCAATGGTGCGCACCGCTGCGCTTGCGCTTTTGTCGACGCAGCAACAGAACGTCTTCACGCAGCGCAAGCCATTGAAATGAATGGGTTTCATAGCGTCGTGCAGCGCATACCGCGTCCTGTGTGAAAGCCCCATTACTTATGTTGGGTGCAATTCGCAACCTCACCACTAGATGCCACTTAAATTACACACTGCACCTTTAACACAGGCCCAGAATGGCACGAGCGCTGGCTCACCTTGGAGGAGTAGCGGTCGTCGAAGGCGTGTTTGATCATCAGGTTCTTCAGCACCTGCAGTGCGATCTGACGCACGTCTCTGAACTCCTGCATGGCTCCGCCCACTTCCCTCAGCAACAGCCCCACCAGGAAGTGATGCTTACAGAAGTCGTCGGTTAAAGAGTAGTCCAGCTGAAGATCTGACAGAGAAACACAACACATCACTCCTGAGCATCTAAGCATGATATTCAACATTAGATAGAAGTTTAATGTATTACTGACACGAAAACACTAAAATTGTTCTTGCACAGTAATTTTCATTTTGGGTAAACTTGAACTATCCATGATACATATTGTTTCATTTTTGTATTGCGATATATTGTTCCACCCCTAATATCGAATAGTTTGGCCATTCAGACATCCAATAAATAGTGTGTCACTCTCTCGTGACCATGATGCACATGAAGGGTTTAAATGAATGTGAATGAGATGAGAGAGCTATGGAGGAGAAGATGATAAAAACACACACGAGTCGTGATAAGGACTACTTCGTGGTGGCATTTTTATTATTCTAGTAAATAGTAAAAAAATTATAATCTGGTAGTGTTTATTAGAACTCTCCGACTCCCTCTATTGACCACAGTATTGAAAGGCCACATTCTTACAAATTCGTATTTTTTATATTTTAAATCGTCCTTTGACAAAATTTTTAAATCCTTTATTGTTTTTATTTTAGTGTTATATTTTTATGGTTTAATCAATTATTCCTGTTTCATCATCGTATGAAGCCCAAGCAGCTCAAACCCTGTCATAACGTAATGTTTAATCAATGCACTCTTTATGTTTCTCTTTGTATTATATTATATCATTATAGTCCATTATTCTTTTAAACTCTGTGGGATAAACGAGTTCAGGCTAAAAGTTAGAAGTCTGATTATATTACCTATAATGATTGCATTACTATAGTCTTCGTCATGTCATTAGTAGTCAGAAATGGTCTACAATTTAAAGTAATCCACCCAGCAACGGCTCTAACTAACACGCATTTATGTTTACGTTTTTATTATTTACGTGCATTTATGAGTAATGCATTTGTTACAGTAATTATTCATCTTTGTTAACGTTAGCTAACTGTTCAATGTTAGTTCATGTTAGCTAAATTCAATTTAACCCTAAAACCGTATTCTGGACAAATGTGGGCAAAATAGTCTTGATTTATTAAAAAAAAAAAAAAAAAAAAAAACTTCCCTTGATCTGAGCGGTACAAGACTTGACTACTTTTCCTAAGTTTGCCTCCTGAACACACACAATTTTATTTGGACTCAATTCTACAATATTAAGTGGGTGAAAAAAACTCCTCAATCTTGTATTTGGGTCAAAAATGGGCACCCATAGAAATGAATGGGAAAAACTGTAATTTAGAGCATTCTAAAATAAGCCAAAATAAGACACCAGGTGACAGCAAAGTCACTTCATCTTTAGGTTTTAGCTCTAAAAACTTATTGAAATGATATTTTAATGTAGTTTAAAAAAATAAAACATAAAAGTAAGCATAATTTACATGGAAAATATGGTACTTTTTGAAGTAAATAAATAAAAAAATACCCCCAAAATAAAAAAAAAACACCATAAATGGATAGACAAAACTTTATCGAAGACAGTGATATAACATTTATAATAAATAAAAATTAGGATCACACCTGAGTCCTCTGTGCCCACATTTGTCCACAATTACAGGATTAAGGGCTATTAAGTAAATACGGTTTAAGGGATAAACACATTTACATTAATATTAATAATATTTTCATTGTTAGTTTGGGTTTCTTAATGCCACACACAGAGATATCACCCAGTCAATTCACATTCAGCCACTATTCCCCTGACCATAACGTGTGTTTAAGGTCACCTTGGAAGCGCTGGATCCGACCCTTCCCGAACGGCATGGGCAGGTTGAGAGGAACGTAGTGTTCATGATTACAGACCACCTTCAGAAACTCAAACTTAAACTCACACAGCGTCTGAGAGAGAGAGAGAGAGAGAGAGGAACACGAGAGGGGGAATATTCCTGAGATGGCAGATTTGAAAATGGATCCAATGGCAAAAAAATAATGAGAATCTGATTTTGAGTTGTTGATCGTGTGTGAACGGAGATTAGAAGCAGAAGTGATTACCTTGCAGTCTCCGGCCATGAAGCAGCTGATGTAGTTGTTGATCTGCTTGAACACGAACCCTCGGTCCATGAAGGTGAAACAGCGCTGGTGAAGACAGACCACGCTTGAGTTTATTCAACACACACATTTATCCTCCAGACACTAATAGAGCTGACCTTTCCTTCCCTTAAACCGACCCAACACCAAACCTGCGCTGACATCACCCATACACACATCAGCACAAGAGCATTCTACATAACAATTATTAGTTTTAATGTAAGCACATTGTCATTAAAGGTGCCATCTGGCACATAAAATCAAATCATATTCCATATTCCACACCAGATGGAGGCAGTATACCTCCAGAAAGTGAGTTGTGCCGCGGCCGCGCGCACTCTCGCGTCTTCAAACAACACAAACGAGCGCTGTTTTGTGCTCTCTTTCTCGCGCATATTATTCAAATCATTTGACACGATAGTAAAAGGTCGGAAGACCGCAGTTTTTTCAGTTTGGCTGGTGGTAATGTTGCCCGCCCACATACCGCCTCCCATGGCCGAAACTGGTATTACGACACCTGCTGGGCCGGGCTAGTAATTTAGCATGCTAATTTAGGTTTATATATCGACAGCAGTATAACTAGTCAGTTTTTTAATGACATCATTGCACTTATTTCTTCTCATTCTTTTGATGCGTGTAGCTCATTTTTTGGATATTTTTACCTCAATTATTACATATGACACCTTTAAAGACACCTAACATAAAGTGGGACCAAACGTACTTCAAAATATTATTTTAATATAATACTATCGAATTATTCAATGTCCAGTCATTATTATTATTGAAAAAAATACTATTTTAAAAACCGAGCAATTAATTATAGTATATTACATTATAATACAGTACGTTACAATAAAAGTATTATTTAACAGAACAACAGTAAAATTACAATACTAACATTTACGCTTGCCGTAATTACTTTGCTTTCAAATGTCAACACATTGAGCTTTTATTTTGGTGGAAAACCACAGGAAAGACCATCATCTTTTATAAAAGATTCTCATTATGAATTTGGGAAGATGGTTGGCGCACACTGCGTTCCCAAATGTAAATTATAAGCAACTCAAACACAGCAGTAGTATTTACTGTGAATCAACACACAGTGCTGTGCTTTACTCTGAAACACGCAGCGCATCAGAGTATATATAATAACATCACGACCATTGTGATTTAATGATCGCATTCAGCCGTATTACAGTACGTGCTCACAATCACGCATTGCCAATATACATTAAAAAGAAAAGCCAGAGTGTTTCAACGCCTATTTTTGCTCTTATTTGGAGCTTTGAACCCTGGCTAACATGCTAATAATGTCATGCTATCCATGCATGAAATGAACGCTTTAGAAATGTAACATCTTGCAGTTTATTTTGTTTGAATATTTCTCCGTTTTAAGTAAATCACGCGAGTCATACTTTTAAGATCTGAAAATACGGAAATGCGTATTTGCAGTAGCGCACTTTGGTTTGTGGTTGATGTGAACCGAATTCAGGAAAGCTGCTACTGACAAAGAACATTTTGCTGTAATATCTCACCAATAGTTAGATCAGCCTCTACAGTACAGATCAAATCAAGTCTTTCGTCCAGATCTCGAGTCTTGATGAAAGCAGACGCGCTCACCTTGACGAAGACAGCGAGGCTGTGATTGGCGTTTCGTGTGGCGTCCAGGTTGTCTTTGTATTTCTGTGTGATGTGAGGCATCAGCATGGTCACCAGCGTCTCCACAGAGTGATAGAAGGACGCTGAGAAACGCTGGTTCCTCGAAACCTACAGGATTTGACTGAGTTTAGACATCACGAAAAACAGATCTTTACATTTGCAGAAGAACACATGACTGATGTTGGCTTGTACTGACCTTGGCCTTGCCTGTCTCGATCAGGTACTGAGCCATAGACTTGACTAAAACCTCACAGAAATACCAGGAGTACTAGAGTAGAAAGAACACAGAAGAACACATGAGGATCTTCCGTACACAACACAGGATCAGCCGCTAAACATCTACTGAGCCGATCGCCTCGTTTAGAGATGCGGTCGTGATTCTCGCAATTCTGAGAAAAAAGTCACAATTGCAAGTTATAAAATCAGAATTGAAATAAATAAATCTGATTTGTTAGATATAAATTCATAATTACCTTTTTTTTTTTTTAATTCCATGGCGGAAACAAGCTTTCATAGACAAGTAGGCTGTGGAGAAAAGTCTTCAGCCTATACTAAGTATTGCAAGTCTACTTTTCTTGTACAGTTGTATTTACTGTTTTGATAGAGAGGCTTATTAAAGTCTTTTTCCACACATATTGGCTTCTTCAATTAAGGACTTTTACAGCATATTTATTTATTTGTTTATTTCGAGCAATATGTAGTTACACATGACAAGGCAATACGAAGCATTTTGGTTAGTCTGTACAAGCCTTTAAATTCATCATATTTACATCAACTTTAACAAAACCTAAATCTATTGCTCGAAACGGAGTGGATAGAGTCAAACATATGCTTTACATACTATGATAACAAATCAGCTTTGGGGTGAAATGGCTCAGAGAAAATAGTAAACTGGTGGAAATGAGCATTTTTGTGCCACTGACTCACACAGAAACGGATACCCATTTGGCTGATTTTACTGACAATTCCTCCATGGTGTGAGTAAACTACTGTATGAGCATCATCTTTTGGTAACTTAAACAAGTATACTTTCAGTATAAAAAGTATTCAACAGGTTTACTGAGAGTATAACGCTATCAGTACCTGTAAGTTCAATTGTAGTATCACAGTATAGTTGCAACAGAAAAATAAAAACAAGTAAAGTTTACTACTGTTACGCTTAAAGTACACTTAAAAGCAGTGGTGGAATGTAACAAAGTACAAATACTTCGTTACTTTACTTAAGTACATTTTTCACGTATCTTTACTTTACTTAAGTAGAATAAATAGTGCATACTTTTTACTTTTACTTCGTTACATTTTGCAGCAATTATTATACTTTCTACTCCACTACATTTCTACAACTTCTGTTACATTTTCATTACATTTCCTAAACAGTTTTTCCCCCTGCCAAAACGTAAACGTTGCACGTTTGTCTCACCAGTGACGTTTGGTTGCCATAGATACATCAACTAAATGGGTCTTGCATGCAGTGTGTTTATCGTGCAATTTATACGCGAAAATTTGTTTTTACATGCTTAGGAAACGCACCGTGTGTAATATACGTTTGGTTAGGATTATGGCAAGCCAAGAGGTTCAGAATTACACCATAAATTAATCGCGTTTACTGCCAAACATAGTTATTAACATATAGTAAGGATATGGCTTAGTGCCTAATTGCAAGCTTGTTTCAGAAATGGTAACAACAACTTTTTTTCCATCATTATTGAACATCATTATAGGAGTATTAGGTTCAATGAGTTAGAATTAAATGTTTTATTAATCATTAGAAAATAGTCATTAAGAGAATCAATTATTATGCAAGTACTTTTACTTTTAATACTTAAAGTACATTTAAAATCAGGTACTTTTTACTTTTTACTTAAGTATGGTTGTCATTGTGTTACTTCTACTTTTACTAAAGTAAATATTTATCTGGTTATTTGTACTTTTACTTAAGTACTGAGATTCAGTACTTCCTCCACCACTGCTTAAAAGTATACTTTTATGTACTAAAAGTGGGACAGTTTTTTTAGAATAGTACATTTACAAATACAATATTAGTACGTTGATTTTAGTAGACTTACTACATAAAGTATACTCGGGAAATAATATGCTTGAACTTTAAGGGGCGGCAGTGGCTCAGTGGAGCAAGACACCTAACCCCAGCTGCTCCCGACGAGCTGGCTGGCGCCTTGCATGGCTGACAGTGCCGTCGGTGTATGAATGTGTGTGTGAATGGGTGAATGTGAGGCAAATGTAAAGCGCTTTGGTGGCCATTAGGTCTATGAAGGCGCTATATAAATGCAGTCCATTTACCATTTAATTTAAAGAATGCTTCTTGTCTTTGTCAGGGGTGTTGAATCTGATTCAATAGAGTCACCTTCAGGAGTTTGTTGCTGGTGAGGAAATCCGTCGAGGGTTTCAGGATGGTGGTCATGGCTTTTGCCAGTTCCTCATGGACAGTTTTACCGTTGGTTAAGTTTGTCTCGGTCTTCAAAACATACTGTACACACACCAAACACAAGACAACGAGAATGACGAAGATTCAGGGTCACAATTAGGATTGTTTGTTTTACATCAAAAGAATAACATGGCATGTCATGATCCAGCTCACCTTTACATAGGAACGCAAGTGATGCTCCAGACCCTCTTCATGACACTGAGCCACGACATGGATCATCACCCTGGCCAGACCAGATCAAACCAGACCAGATCAGACAAGACCAGATCAGACCAGACCAGATCAGGTCAGACGAGACCAGACGAGATCAGAACAGACCAGGTCAGACGAGACCAGATCAGACCAGACCAGATCAGACGAGATCAGAGCATAACGACACACAAAATGAGTAACAATACCTGGGTTATCATCCTTAATCCACACTACAACTCAAACATTTCTGTTAATTGAAATAAAGCTGGACTAAAATAAAATAAAGCTGAAATAAATTAAGTAACAATAACAATAAAATGAAATAAAGATTAAATAAAATAAAATAAAGCTAGAATTAAAAAAATATATATTTTATTATTATTATTAAAAATAAATAAATAAATAAAAATCACAAAAGCACATAACAAATTTACCAAACATTAAACTTAAAAACGTAAAAATAAAAGCTAATTCAAGATTACCTCACCCGTATCCAACTCAATATCAGCACAAGTGTTTTACAATACAACATCAACACAAGGAGTGTATTATAACTAACTATTATTATTTTTAATGCAAGTACTTAAAGACACCAAATATAAAGTGAGATCTAAATGATACTAAAATAACACTGTAACAGACCTGGTGACGTTCACGGCTACATCTTCCAGGCCGGAGGTGGTGAGCACACGAAACAGCTGGTTGAGGATGGTGGGGAGGAACTTTACCATCACATGAGCCTCCATGGCGTGCAGACTCTAAAAGAGAGAGGGAACTGTGATCTCGGGACTGAACAAACACCTGCAGGCCTCAAACATCCTCAGGGAGGACAAACGTCTAGGTTACTAATGCAATTCCCATTCCCTGAAGGAGGGAATGGAGATGTTAATAGTCAGTGAATGACGAATTGGGATCTCGCCTGAGAGCCTAAGCACCTTTAAGCGGTAACAGAACGAGCCAATGCATGCTGGATAGTAAGATTTACATTGCAAACCGCACCCCCTCTTCCGGGTATATAAGGGCTTGCATGCGATACTCACATCAAGCTTTTGCTGAGGAGCCGAGACAGTGCTGTTGTAACCCCTCCACCCGGGTCCTACTCCTACCTTAAACCCGGGTCTCCGGCGTGAGAGTCGGGCGCTCTAGCAAGGAGGCTAAAGACTGCAGCCTCTAGAGTCTGTCGCTAGAGCGCCTATTGAGATCGGGGAGTGAGGTTTACTCGCACAGCAACTGCTAGCTGGCCTCCGTTACACTCACCCCCCTAAACCTCACTCTCATCCGGGTCATGGCACCAATGTAACCCCTCCACCCGGGTCCTACTCGCCCCGCTCCGAGCGGGCCTCAAACCCGGGTCTCCGGCGTGAGAGTCGGGCGCTCTAGCAAGGAGGCTAAAGACTGCAGCCTCTAGCGTCTGTCGCTAGAGCGCCTATTGAGATAGGGGAGTGAGGTTTACTCGCACAGCAACTACTAGCTGGCCTCCGTTACACTGTCAGCTGAGGTACAGGAGTTGTGGCGAAAGGTATTAACAATCTGATCCCTCCTTCAGGGAACGAGGTTCCAATAGTAACCTAGACTTTCCCTAAGCCAGTCACGTTCGACATTAATCATCAGCGACTGACGAATCGGGATCCCTATGGAAGAGGGTTCTTTTCCCTGGGTTCTTTTCACCCTTACAGTGAGACTATTGGATAACAATGGGAAAGCGTGCCTATTCCAGTTTTGGAAAGGGACGCTCCATCCTGCCCGTAGGGAAGTAACATGTGGAGTTACTCATATGGACTGACTGAGAGGGCAGTACTACATATGGAAGATCTCTGAAGTAGATCCCGCCTATCTCAGGGGAGGATCACATTGAGAAATGGCAGAGGGAACTCTGCCGAGGGAAAGACACAGACTCGTCAACAGGGAAGCCGTATCATGGAGTTACACACATGGGATCACCTAAGGAGGGGAATCACAACATATGGGCAAAAAGTCTAGTACAGGGGCTGACCAACTGGGGAATACACACAAGTATTAGACCTGTCTGGGGAACTCAACTGAGGAGCAGAATAAGCACTAGCATCACGTCCTTGGAAGGTATTGGCGCTGCAAGTGGGACCTGTGGCTATCTACATGTAGACAGCACCGGTTCCACTCAGTGATGATAAAATCTGGCAAATGTGTTGGGTGTTGCCCAGCCTGCAGCTCTGCATGTCTGCCAAAGAGGCTCTGTGCACCAACGCCCAAGAGGAAGCAACACTATGTGTTGAATGAGCTCTAACTCCAGGGGGGCACGGCTGATCTTGGTATAGATATGCCAAGAGGGTGGCATCCACTATATAGTTGGATAACCTCTGTTTGGAGACAGCCTTTCCCTTCCCTTTTCCTCCATAGCAGAATCCATGTACAAACGAGGGGCATGAACGGGGAACAGGGACACAAGGGCTGGGTCTGCCTCCACCAGGGGCAGCTCTTGCATCTTCACTACCTGGTTCCTGAAAGGAGTGGTGGGGACTTTGGGCACGTATCCAGGCCGAGGTCTCAGGATCATTTGAGAGTCAGCAGTACCAAATTCCTGACACGCTTTGTCGACCGAAAACGGTCCCCAACCCTCTTATTAGAAGTGAGAGAAGTCAGGAGCCCTGTCTTAAGCGCCCTTACAGGAACCTGACTACCAATTCGTGTTTCCCTAGAGACTTAACGTTTACTGCATCGTGATGTATGGAAATCGCAGTGACACACTTTCGGGTGGAGGGAGACAGCCTTTCCTCCAACCCATCTTGCAGAAAAGAAAGCACAACATTGATGGGGCATCTACTGGGGTCTTCTCTGCGAGAAGAATACCAATCAACAAAGAGGTTTCACTTCAAAGCGTCGGCTTGACTAGAAGAGGGAGGTCTCGCTGAATGGACTGAATACCACGGGTAAGTCACTTAAACCCTTCGTGTCCCATCTAGAAACCACACATGGAGGTTCCAGAGATCTAGGCAAGGGTGCCAGATGGCGCCCAGTCCCTGAGAAAGCAGATCCTTCCTCAGGGGAATTCACCAGGGAGGGGCTGTCAAGAGGAGCAGGACTTCTGAGAACTCCAGTTGGGCCAGTAAGGCGCTGGTATTCCTGCAGGAGGGCCATGGCATGCAAGGCGGAAAGGGGCCTGTCCAAAGGCACTGTAAGCCTTGGCCGTGAGAGCAGCCGAGAACTTGGGATTGGTGGTGAGGACGACCACACCTGGTGGCAAAACTTAATGGGCATAACTGGACTAAAACAGCACGCTCCACCTGTGGGATCTCCACATACCCTTTGGCCTCCCTGTCATCGAGGGTAGTGAGAGCGGAGGAGGCAGATGAACAGCTTCAGGCAGTAAAAGGACCCTTCCACGTCTTAGTACTTCCTCATGCACTTCCAGGAAGAAGGGCACTGGAGCGGGAAGCTCACACCCCGAGATATCAATAATCTACCCGCAAATGTTCGGGACCCGAGGGCTGCCCGGACAAACATGGTCGTCAGTTCTTGATCTGACTCGGACAACGCTACTCTCCCCAGAGGACGCAACGCAGCCGAATCACCATCTCCAGATGACTCAAACCCCCCTGATGCGGCGATCAACATCCGATCATCTGCCGGGACCCCAAATGAGATGCTGGGAGGCCCAGAAGGCCAAGCGATTGCCACCGGAAGCTCCACAGCCTTGCCAGCCCCCCACTATGATCCACAGGTCACACTGTGTATTAACCAATGAGTACTTCTGTTGGCCACCAGTGGAACCAGATTGGGGAAAAGCAGAGGTGACTCCACCCCTTACAAGGTATCTTAGTATCGACCTCAACATCACAAGGGTCATCTTCCCACAGTGGGTGCAGTACTCATCTAAAAACGCTACCTCAGCGCGCTTCTGGCCAAGACACGCGAGGCAGAGAGTGTAGCTGTCAGACGGGGCCAGGGAACGACCGCATCCAGAGGTACTCGGGTGGAATGACGAAAAAGACTACTGTAAAAAGAGAAATTAGCTCTTTTGTGTTGAAGCACCTTGGGAAAGAACCAGCCATGCACACTTACCAGTCGCAATCTCCACTGGAACATGCCGTCACACTGGAACCAACTCGATCCGTTGACCACAACGATGATTATAGAGTAGAGAGTAACAACATCCACTCGGCTCCTCAGCGAAAGCTTGACGTGAGTATCGCATGCAAGCCCTTATATACCCGGAAGCAGGGGTGCAGTTTGCAATGCAAATCTCACTAGCCAACGTAAATTGGCTCGTTCTGTTACCACTTGAAGGTGATTGGGCTCTCAGACGAGATCCTAATTCGTCAGTCACTGACTATTAACGTTGAACGTGACTGACTGATAGGGGAAAGGAAGTACCTTCAGGTATTTGACCAGTTCTCCTCCTGTTTGGCCCGTGGATTCAATACTCTGGCAGTGATGAAAGAAGTTATGCAGATGTTGATCCTGATGAGAAAACAAGCACCAATCAGGACTAAAAATAATGAATAGATAAGTCTGTTTATGAGGTAGACGCTACACACCTGTGTGTATACAGTGGACACCAGCTGAGTGGAGACTTTGAGCAGCGGCCTCCCACCATCCACCCACTTCACCTCCTGACCGTTGTGCTGCTGTAACACACACAGACACACTTAATTAATGCACAGGGGATTATAGTCACCTTGGAAACAACACTGACGTGTTGCAGTGTTTATCATAAATAATTTATCGGTGCACATTGTTTTAATTTCATGTTTCTCATCATTTTTAATCAGAATAAGTTCCTCTCTTGCAGCGGCATCTCCTTTCTTCTCTGATGACGAGGGCTCACATCAATAACATGAGATCCACCAATAACAAACCACAACCATCCAATCAATTCCCCATGGAGAAAATCAATTTTAGAGGTTCAGCTGACATCAAGATTTGGGAATCACATTGGCATTTTTTACATTTATTCATTTAGCTGACGCTTTTATCCAAAGCGACTTACAATTGCTATATATGTCAGAGGTCGCACGCCTCTGGAGAAACTAGGTGTCTTGCTCTGGGACACATTGGTGTCTCACAGTGGATTCGAACCCGGGTTTCTCACACCAAAGGCATGTGTCTTATGCACAGCGCCGTAACCACCACCATAGGCAGTTAGTTAAGGCTGGTTTAGGTTGGTTTTCAGGTACTTTAAAGGGATACTCCACTTTTTTGGGGAATATGCTAATTTTACAACTCCTCCAGAGTTAAACTGTTGAGTTTTACCGCTTTTGAATCCATTCAGCCGATTTCCGGTTCTGGTGGTCCCACTTTTAGTATAGCTTAGTATACATCATTGAAATGCACAAGACCATTAGCATTTCTACCAAAAAAATGACCAAAGTGTTTCAATATTTTTCCAATTTAAAACTTGACTCTTCCGTAGTTACATTGTACACTAAGACAGACGGAAAATGTAAAGTTGCGATTTTCTAGGCTGATTTGGCAAGGAACTATACTCTCATTCCTGCGTAATAATCAGGAAACTTCACTGTTGCACCATGAGTGCAGCAGGTGTAATGACTACACAAACGTAGTCCTGGTCACGTTGGAAGCTGGGCACTATTTTCAGGCGCTGCGTCATATCATTACGCCTGCTGCAGTCGTGGTACGACAGTGAAGTTTCCTGATTATTACGCAGGAATGAGAGTATAGTTCCTAGCCATATCAGCCTAGAAAATCGCAACTTCACATTTTCCGTTGGTCTTAATGCATGAAGTAATTACTGAAGAGTCAAGTTTTAAATAGTTAAAATATCAAAACACTTTGGTAATTTTTTTGGGAGAAATGCTAATGGTTTTGTGCACTTCAATGATGTATGCTAAGCTATGCTAAAAGTGGTACCGCCAGAACCGGACATCGGCTCAATGGATTCAAAAACGGTAAAACTCAACAGTTTAACTCTGGGGGAGTTGTAAAATGAGCCTATTTCCAAAAAAAGTGGAGTATCCCTATAAGTAGAAATAAGGGCGACAGAAGGCTGCTTATGTACCTGTACACTTCTTTGTTGTACACTTTTCTAATTTACCAGCAAACAAAATATGTTAAAAAACAATTTTATAAACTGTCTTTCAAAAAAAAGTAAGGGACAAAAAAAAAGAGAAGTCAAGAAGCAAAAAAACAAACAAAAAACAACACAAAAAACTAATAGAACAACAAATCAACACAAAGCAACTAAAAAACAACACAACAAACAACAAAACAAAATCCAAAAAAGAAAAAATGAATCGACGGCAAAAACACAACAAATTAAAAAACAAACAAAATGCAACAAAACAAAAACAAACACAAGACAACAAAGCCAAACAGCACAGAAAAAGAAAAAACAAACTCACAACAACAACAAAATCAAACTCAACAACACAACAACAATGCAGCGGACGAACGCTCACCTTGCTGCTGTTGTCCTGTAAGCTCAAGTATCCTGAAGGCAGGTTTGCAGCCACTGGCACCTGTTGCTCATTCATGATCACTCTGCCATCCTTCAGCAGGGGGAGCCACGCGTAACCCACTGCACACACACATTGAGTTTAGTTAGTCTTACTGGACAGAGATACTAACTCCCCTTTAACTCTTTCCCAGTGTGTGTTTCTGGCTGTTCTCCGAGGGTTGTGCGTCTCACCTTGTGTCTCCACCTGCTCTCGTCTCTTAGTGCTGGCTTTGCTGTTGCTGTCACAGCTGATGTGATAGAGGCTGAACAGGAGATGGTGTCGGTCCGTCAGCTGAACCGGCAACTCGATTTTAAACTGGACACGCAGAAACCAGCGTTAAAACAGTCGGCACTGACAACACACAGACATACAGAGATGTAGAGTCTCACCTCTTCGTAAAACTCTGGGCTCTGCTGGTGGTGTAAGACGGCGGCAAACGCTTTCTTACAGAACAGAGGCCCTCCTGGACGCCCATATATACACTGACAGAACAGACACACCGGCATTACAGGTTTAATAAATATAACAACATTTATTTGGTCAAAAATACATTAAAAATAGTGAAATATTAGTCCAATCTATAATATCTGTTTTCTGTGTGAATGTATGTTAAATGTAATTTATTCCTGTGATCAAAGTCTTCAGTGTCACATGATCCTTCAGAAACATTTATGATTATTATGAGTGCTGCTCAATGTATTTGTGGAAAATGTGATACACTGATGTTCAGGATTATTTGATGAGTAGGAAAAAAGTATAGATAGAAAATATTTTGTAACATTATAAAATGCCTTTACTGTCACTATCACTTTTGATCAGTGTAATACGGAGCCCCGAAAGGGACATGGGGACGGAAAAATGCTAAACTTTTGTGTTGACGTCAATCTTTTGAATAGTAGTGTGGTGTATTGAAACGGAGGCCTTAGTGTTGAGGTGTACAAATGGAGGCCTTAACTGTGGAAAAATCACTACAAACATGGAGGTGAGTGTGTGTGTGTGACATTACCTTTAGTGGGAGAGCGTCCTCCTCATCCGAATCTCTGAACTCTACACACAGAGCGATGTTTCTGGCCTAGAAACACAAGAGGAAAACACCTCAAAGACATCACTGATCTCATCCTGTCCAACTTATATATATATATATATATATATATATATATATATATATATATACACATACATATTAAGGCTGGGAAAAGATTAATCACGATTAATCGCATCCAAAATAAAAGTTTGTGTTTACATAATATATGTGTGTGTAGTGTGTATAATTATTTTGTATATATAAATACACACATGTGCATGTATATATGTAGAAAAATGTGTTATTAATATATCAAATATTTATATTTATGTATAATATTAATTTTGTATAAGTATATAAAGTATATACATGCAAATATTTCTTAGATGTTTACATGCATGTGTGTGTATTTATATATACAAAATAATTATACACACTACACACACATGTATTATGTAAACACAAACTTTTATTTTGGATGCGATTAATCTTTTCCCAGCCCTAATATATATATTTATATTATATACTATTTATATATATATATATATATATATATATATATATATATATATTATATGTATATATATATACACTATTATTATATATATTATTAATATTATATATATACATAAAATATATTATATATATATATAATTTAGTTAATTATTAGGATTATATATATATATATATATATATATATATTTTTTTTTTTTTTACTTTAAATTCAAATATTAAAACTGATTTTTTTAAATTTTAAGAAAACAAAATGATAGGAAAATTAGATAACATTCGAAAGTTTAAACTGAAAATGTATCCTGTGAAAACCATTTAAAACTGGACACCATGGAAATGATCCTAAAAACCATTTTAGTGGCTTCAAATTTGGGACACAGCTTGTTTACACATCTGGCTTTTTTATTTTCAAACACTGTTTGAGTCCAAGTTATTGAGTAAAATATATATTTTGTATAAAATATATATTTTTTGTTCAGTAAACTTAAACTGTATTAACTTGGTTTTTACTTCTGCAATAATCTGCTTTAAAAAGTGACCCACCTTGGGTCTGGACTCCACAAAAAAGTGGGTGGCATTTAGCAGGTCAAGACATTTTAAGGACTTTCCTCCATAGAAAAGGAAGTCAGAGCCGTGATTTAGCGGTGTTGTACCTTAGTGAAGCTTTTCTGGCTGTCGTATTTGAGATGTCGTGGATACACGTACAGGTGGTTGTTGTAAATAGTGAAAGGCTGAGAGCATTTGGCGATTGATGGCACAAACTCCTCCACCTCAAACACAAGCCTGCCCCGTTCAGCGCCATCAGTCTGACGGAGAGGAAGATAGGAGGGCGTGACACAATCTGCACACACAGAGAGAGAGAGAGAATCAACCAATCCTGATCCAACCCAAACACTCAAAATGTGTCTTTCCCGCTTTCAGAAATGCTTGTGTGTGAGCGTGAAAGCCTTACTAGGCAGATCTGGTGCCACGTTATCAACCGTAACATCCAAATTACCCAGAATCACAGGCAACTTGGCCATCTTTTCTGGCCTGAGAGAAGAGAAAGCACAAAGGAGGGCAAATAAACAAGCGAAGAGAGACTATAGTGTTCCTAAAACATCAGAACAGAGTAAAAACAACAGCAGGTCGTATTCTACAAACACGAGCGCTACTATCCGAGTGTGTGTGTGTGCGACTGACTTCCTGAAGTCGGCCAAGAGTCTGAACATGTCCTCGTTGGAGAGCTTGTTCCCGTCCTGCCGGTAGAGAGCCGAGAAGCGAGCGCTCTTGTCCACCGTCCCAGAGGCGTCCTTAAACAGCGGCCTGAGAAACACACACACACACAGGATCAAAGAGATGACAGAACACACACATCCTGATCCTGCCCAGCTCGGAAAGATAAACATGATGGCATGGCTTGAAATCTACAACCGACACCCTTTTCCAGAACAAAACACGGGAAGAGAAAAAACAGAAACAGCACTATTGATTCAGCTTTACAGTAATAATGATATCACACACACACACACACTCAGACAAACAAAAATGTTATTATATCTTATTCTAACCCAACCAGTCTACTGATACTCTACCGACACACTAATGAGAGCTAGTACACATGTAGGGGCAACGTTACTTATTATAGTCAACAGAATGTGTTAAAGGGTTAGTTAACCCAAAAATTAAAATACTGTCAGTAATTACATGTTGTTCAACCCCGTAAGACCTTCGTTCATCTTCGGGACACAAATTAAGACATTTTTGATGAAATCTGAGAGCTGGATCACTCCTCCATACTAGTCCATAGGCTTCTTGAGGAATTGAAACTTGCCGGCCCAGAAAAGTTATTAAAGAAATCGTTAAAATAGTCCAAGTGACTACAGTGGCTCAATCTTAACTTTATCAAGCGACGAGAATAGTGACTATTTCAACGAATGAACACAGTCATTCTGATGTTCCTCTGAAGATGCAGAGGCTGAGTTTAGTATTCGAGGGGAATAGTCTATATGTTTGTGAATCATTTCTCACCAGTCTCCTTTATAATCGAGGGTCAGTATAAAGCTGGTTTTGCCAAGAAAAAGAATCGCTACCAACTATTCGTGTCCCTGCTGCACCTCCAGAAGAAGTGTGTAAAGCTTTATTAACCTTTATATTAATCTTTGCACGCTTCACGATGAATGCGGCTGAGGTTTACACCCAGGGTACATTACGACATGTTTTCTATCTACGACGTTCTCAATCCCACGTTTATAATGAACAACGTGTTATGGTTATTGTGTTGTTACACACTGAGTACGTCTACATCAGTAAACACACAGCGTTCGTATCCACTACTCTACCCTGCCAGTACACAAAGATAGATCAAAGTGACATTAAGTTAACGGTACTGTCACGATTCCTGTCTTGTGTTTTCCTTATCTTGTGTGGACTTTAGATATTTCCTGTTCCGTGCAATGTTTTGTAGTCCTTTGTAGTTTTTCTTGTTGATGAGTTCCCCCATGTGTTTCTGATTAGCCACACCCCCTTGTTCCCTTGTTTTTTCTTGTTTGTCTGTGTATTTGAACCTCTGTGTTTCAGTTGTTGGGTGTCGGTCGTTGTTTGTATCTCTTGTGCTTCGCATCACACCACACGATAACGCTGGATAAAAATAAATAAATAAAAACTTGCGGGCTGTTGTTCACCCAGGACTGGAGTTTATTCTGTTATGTGGTTTATTTTGATAGGTGAACTGTCTTTGTAGTGTTAAGAGAAGGAGAGCTAAACGGGAGATATTGTGTTTTGCCCCTCCGCTCCGCCTGCGTGTTCTTAAAGAGAAACACAGTCTTTTATAAATCGCTATTTTTCTGCACTAAACTACCGTAGTGAATTAAAGATATATTCAGAGATGAAAAACAAGATGTTATAGCATAATAATTGAATAAAAACCCAATTTTGACAAAAAACTGACCTTCAATCTATATTTAGACCTTACTGAAAACGTACCAGCGCGACATCCGACGGGTTTTCCCAGATCGCATCACAAATCGGATTAAAAAACAAGATTCGCAATTCCTTTAATGATAAACCCATACATTTTGAGATAAAACATGACACTGCCGTTTATGTTTGTGCAATTCACCCATTTGTGAGTTAGTTTGTGACTAATTTGTGAGATTGAGAGTTTGACGAGGCAGGATCAGTGTTGGGTAAGTTACTCTAAAAAAGTAATTAATTACTAGTTACTAATTACCTCCTCAACAGTGTAATTAGATTACTGTACTAATTACTCTCTCTAAAAAGTATTTAATTACTTTTAATTACTAATTACTTTCAAAATCCCATATCATTCTCAACCAGCTGAATAATACAAGGATAGACATGAATCTGTTTTAATTCTTTCAAATAAATACTATAAAATTGCATGAATTATCCTTAAACTGACCAAGGTGGAGAAGGTTACATTAAAACATACTTTTTAGCATCAGACAATACATTTTGATGTTAAACCCACTATTGTTTTATGTCTGATCTCATGACATCACACTTTTTTCATACATATTTTACAATAATTCACACGAATTTGTACGAGTGCGGTCATAAAATTTAGACGCCTCATACAATGCATACGAATCGCCTGTGAGATCGGATTGATCTATACACAGTATTTACCTCAAGTACACCAGAAGTAACTGTAATTAAATTACAGATAAATTAAGAGTAATCCCTTACTTTACATTTTCAAGGGAAAAGTAATTAAAATACAGTAACTAATTACCAACACTGGGCAGGATATTGAAGTGAGTGTAGTCCGGTTGAGTTTTACAGTGATGCTGTTCAGTCCCAGTGAATCTACAAATGTCGGTGTGTGTGTGTGAGTTTGCAGAGGTCGTTGTCATGATGTCACAGTCAGTGTGTCTCACCTGGCGGCCCATGCGAAGGGCATCCGGTACTGACCCAGCCGACCGCAGGCCATCTTCACGTTCTTCAACACCTTCTGAGCGGCCTGAGGAGAGGAGCACAAGCGCTGTAGTGTAGCAGGAGTGCAGCCCGTCATCAGGCTTGGCTAAAGCGCGTCACATGATTTATCCTGCTATCACACCCGGCGTGTCCGAGAGCTGGACAAACACTCGCCAACATCTGTTTTATACATGTGCTGACTACTTCCAGAGGGCTAAGAATGACATCACATGTGCACACACACACACACACACACACGTACCTTAACAGAGTCTGAGTTCTTCATGTAAAGCTCGGCACAATGCGTGATTCCACCCTGTAAAACCTTCTCTATCCGTGCAACCAGGAAGATGTCCGGGTGTGGACAGGTCACGGAAAACACTCCCTGCACACACACACACACGATCAGAAACATTTAAAGTAAAAGATCTTCAAAAACAAGCTTAATGTGTTATGTACACCACTGTTTGCATTCAGTAATATTGTTTAAATTAAACAGTTTATATGATAGTCCACTTTAGACAAACTACTGACCATAAGACTGTGTGTGTGTGTGTGTGTGTGTGTGTGTGTGCTCACCTGTCGAGGGAACTGCGCGCTGCTCTCCGTCTCTCCTCGAGGACCGTCCGGAGACCCCGACGAGGACAGAAGCTCTCTCACTGACGGATGGTTCATGTCCACGTGGAAGTCTGACGAGATCTTACGACCGCTCTGAACATCAAACAGCGACAGAGACACGAAGAACGGCTCCACCTGACACACACACACCAGCACACACACTCTCAGATGGGGTATTGTACACCGATATGTGTTCATTTTCAACGTTCTCATTATCGGCTAGATAAGAAAATCTGTCTGATATATTAAAGCCGATAAATAACGTATAAATAATTTGAATATCGTGCAAAAGTTCATTTATTTCAGTATTCAACTTAAAAGGTGAAACTGTTATATTATATAGACGCATTACATGCAAAGTGAGATATTTCAAGTCTTTATTTGTTATAATTATGATGATTATGGTGTAAAGCTGTGAAAACTTTTCACAAAAGTCTAATTTTGAATTTGGGATTTTCATAAACTGTAATCCATAATCATCAACATTATAACAAAGAAAAAAAAAAAGAGAAAAAAAGGGGGGAAAAAAGGAAAAAGGGGAAAAAAGAGCCCCCCCCCCCCCAAAAAAAAAAAAAAAACATTATTACAAAGAAAGGCTTGAAATATTTCAGTTTGTATGTAATGAGTCTATATAATATATTAGTTTAATGTAGGGCTGTCAAACGATTAATCGAGATTAATCGCATCCAAAATAAAAGTTTATGTTTACATAAAATATGTGGGTGCACTGTATATAATTATTTTATATATATTAAAATACACACACATGCTTGTATATATTTAAGAATATTTTCATGTATATAGTTTTATATATAATTTATAAATATGTTATATATAATTGTTTTTTTCTTAAATATACATGCATGTGTGTGTATTTATATATACAAAATAATGATACACAGTGCACCCCCATATATTATGTAAACACAAACTTTTATTTTGGATGTGATTAATCATTTGTCAGCCCTAGTTTAATGTATACTGTATTTCCTCCAGCTGAGACACTTCAGATACACACTGTTCAACATGACGGTTCTGAATTGCTTGAAATATGATTGCAATTATTTCAAAAAAGGAAAATACAGTAAAGTGCAACATGAACAGCACAAGTCTGTCATATAAGCTACATGAAAATATCATGAGAACATAATAATTGTGTTTGGGACATGGCTTTTAATGGTTCAGGCTTTTAGATTTAATGCCCGATATGTCGGTTATGGGCGTTCAAACATAAAGAGCGGTGGTTTATCGGCTGTTGATGTCGGAGTGTGAGATGAAATGTGTTTAAGGTGCTGAGGTACGTTAGTGGTCGGCCCCTCCTCGTTCTCCGCCACACAGCTCTGCAGGTTAAACGACAGGTCGTTGCAGTTCACCAAGATCCGCTTCCCAAACTTCTCCTCGAAGGGCTTCACTTCCGGCTCGATCCCGGAGAAATCCAGTCTCTGCTCAGGGTGGAAGATGATGACATCATCAGTTTGGACTTATACCGCACCACTCAAAAGTTTGGGGTTGGTACGATTTTAAGAAGTCTCTTCTGCTCACCATTAAGGCCCTTGCACACCGAGGCCAAAATAAATACGAGCTCAATCACGCTTGCACACTGCCTTCGAAACTCTCTCCGTCATAAAAAGAATCGGATCGGGTTCGATTTTCTGTGTTTTCCGCATCCATAGCGAGCAGTTTGAATGATGTTTAGACAATTCAGAGCCACCGAATCACGAATACGAAAAAACACATATGAAAAATTCGGTCTCAGTGTGCAAGGACCTTAAGACTGCATTTATTAGATCAAAAATACAGTGATATTGTGAAATATTATTACCATGCAAAATAACTGTTTTCAATGTGAATATACAGTAAAGTGTCATGTATTCCTGTGTCACATGATCCTTCAGAAATCACTCTAATATGAGGATCTGATGATCAAGAAACAGTTTTGATTATTATCAATGTTGGAAATTTTTGAAGCATTTATTTGAAATATAATCTTTGTAACATATATATCTATCATTACTGTCACTTTTGATCAATATAATGCAATTTAATCCAAACTTTTGAACGTTAGTCGACTTGTATCTTCAGTGCTGTGATCATTCAAACTTGTGAGCGAGTGTGTGAGGCGGTTCACCTGTAAGTCTGCGTCCAGTGTGAAGAGCTTCAGCCGTGTGTCGTTTCTCATCTTGCTCTCGATGTCTCTGGCACTCTGAAGAACACACACACATCAGTGTTTTATCATTCACTTCCAGCTCACGTGAGGCTAGCAAAGCACATCCTAATGCTAAAGCAAAAAGAATGAAATATTAAGTCTAATGCTGATGACTTCTAAGAGGTCAGACATAAAGTATTATCATGACATGCATTATCATGTTTTTATTACTCACCTAGGGGGAAAAGGTTTAGTTTACAAGGTACTTTGGCACACAAAATGTGCAAACGATCAAGTGTGTATCTGTGTTTGAGCAATATATCGCCCATCAAACACATCTGTCGATTTCTTAAATGCAATGGCCAATCAGAGCTGAGTTTTTCATTCCCTGAGGTGTGGCTTACCTGAAAACTGTCCATACTGCTAGAGGAGTGATCGCTTTTCCCCTGTTCATCATCTACAACAGAGACAGCCAGAGGAATGTCATTACACCACACACACACACACACACCACAGCAACTCTGTCTCGTCATTGTGTGTACAGTCACTCCCACGTGTGGTTGTCAGAGTGGTGTGTGTTTGACTCAGGAATGTGGCTGAAACGAACAGATGACTAAGGATTCAGTATAGCAGGGGTAAACACACACACACACCGTCGTGTACGTCCCCGTTCCTCTTGTCCAGCATGGCGAGCTCGAAGCTGCTGTTGAGGATCCGGTTGAGTGTGCCGATCCAGTCGTCCATCTCAGTCTCGGAGTCCGCGGCCAGGACATAACCACTCTTATCCTGCATCTTCAGCTCGAACGCAAACCTGCGCACGCGGTTGTTCTACACGCAGAGAAAAACTCATCTCAACACATATAAGATCTGTGTATGATCTGTGTATGATCTGTGTAAGATCTGTGTATGATCTGTGTATGATCTGTGTAAGATCTGTGTAAGATCTGTGTATGATCTGTGTATGATCTGTGTATGATCTGTGTAAGATCTGTGTATGATCTGTATAAGATCTGTAAATGATCTGTGTATGATCTGTGTATGATCTGTGTATGATCTGTGTATGATCTGTGTAAGATCTGTGTATGATCTGTGTAAGATCTGTGTATGATCTGTGTAAGATCTGTGTATGATCTGTGTATGATCTGTGTATGATCTGTGTATGATTGATGTAAGATCTGTAAATGATCCGTGTAAGATCTGTGTAAGATCTGTGTAAGATCTGTAAATGATCCGTGTAAGATCTGTGTAAGATCTGTGTAAGATCTGTAAATGATCTGTGTAAGATCTGTGTAAGATCTGTGTAAGATCTGTAAATGATCTGTGTATGATCTGTGTATGATCTGTGTATGATTGATGTAAGATCTGTAAATGATCCGTGTAAGATCTGTGTATGATCTGTGTAAGATCTGTAAATGATCTGTGTAAGATCTGTGTATGATCTGTGTAAGATCTGTGTATGATCTGTGTAAGATCTGTGTATGATCTGTGTATGATCTGTGTATGATCTGTGTATGATCTGTGTAAGATCTGTGTATGATCTGTGTATGATCTGTGTATGATCTGTGTATGATCTGTGTATGATCTGTGTATGATCTGTGTAAGATCTGTGTATGATCTGTGTATGATCTGTGTAAGATCTGTGTATGATCTGTGTAAGATCTGTGTATGATCTGTGTAAGATCTGTGTATGATCTGTGTATGATTGATGTAAGATCTGTAAATGATCCGTGTAAGATCTGTGTAAGATCTGTGTAAGATCTGTAAATGATCTGTGTCAGATCTGTCTATGATCTGTAAATGATCTGTGTATGATCTGTAAATGATCTGTGTAAGATCTGTGTATGATCTGTGTAAGATCTGTGTATGATCTGTGTATGATCTGTGTATGATCTGTGTAAGATCTGTGTATGATCTGTGTATGATCTGTAAATGATCTGTATAAGATCTGTGTAAGATCTGTGTATGATCTGTGTAAGATCTGTGTATGATCTGTAAATGATCTGTGTAAGATCTGTGTATGATCTGTGTAAGATCTGTGTAAGATCTGTGTATGATCTGTGTAAGATCTGTGTATGATCTGTGTATGATCTGTAAATGATCTGTATAAGATCTGTAAATGATCTGTGTATGATCTGTGTAAGATCTGTGTATGATCTGTGTAAGATCTGTGTATGATCTGTGTATGATCTGTGTAAGATCTGTGTAAGATCTGTGTATGATCTGTGTAAGATCTGTAAATGATCTGTGTAAGATCTGTGTATGATCTGTGTAAGATCTGTGTATGATCTGTAAATGATCTGTGTAAGATCTGTAAATGATCTGTGTAAGATCTGTAAATGATCTGTGTAAGATCTGTGTATGATCTGTAAATGATCTGTGTAAGATCTGTGTAATATCTGTGTATGATCTGTAAATGATCTGTGTAAGATCTGTGTATGATCTATGTATGATCTGTGTAAGATCTGTGTATTATCTGTGTATGATCTGTGTAAGATCTGTGTATGATCTGTGTATGATCTGTAAATGATCTGTGAAAGATCTGTGTATGATCTGTGTAAGATCTGTGTAAGATCTGTGTATGATCTGTATAAGATCTGTAAATGATCTGTGTATGATCTGTAAATGATCTGTGTATGATCTGTGTAAGATCTGTGTATGATCTGTAAATGATCTGTGTATGATCTGTGTAAGATCTGTGTATGATCTGTGTATGATCTGTGTAAGATCTGTGTAAGATCTGTGTATGATCTGTGTATGATCTGTATAAGATCTGTAAATGATCTGTGTATGATCTGTGTAAGATCTGTGTATGATCTGTGTAAGATCTGTGTATGATCTGTGTATGATCTGTATAAGATCTGTAAATGATCTGTGTATGATCTGTGTATGATCTGTGTATGATCTGTAAATGATCTGTATAAGATCTGTAAATGATCTGTGTATGATCTGTGTAAGATCTGTGTATGATCTGTGTATGATCTGTGTAAGATCTGTGTATGATCTGTGTATGATCTGTGTAAGATCTGTGTATGATCTGTAAATGATCTGTGTAAGATCTGTGTAAGATCTGTGTATGATCTGTAAATGATCTGTGTAAGATCTGTGTATGATCTATGTATGATCTGTGTAAGATCTGTGTATGATCTGTGTATGATCTGTGTAAGATCTGTGTATGATCTGTAAATGATCTGTGTAAGATCTGTGTATGATCTGTGTAAGATCTGTGTATGATCTGTGTATGATCTGTGTATGATCTGTGTAAGATCTGTGTATGATCTGTGTAAGATCTGTAAATGATCTGTGTAAGATCTGTGTATGATCTGTGTAAGATCTGTGTATGATCTGTGTAAGATCTGTGTATGATCTGTGTAAGATCTGTAAATGATCTGTATAAGATCTGTAAATGATCTGTGTATGATCTGTGTAAGATCTGTGTAAGATCTGTGTATGATCTGTGTATGATCTGTGTAAGATCTGTGTATGATCTGTGTAAGATCTGTAAATGATCTGTGTAAGATCTGTGTATGATCTGTGTAAGATCTGTGTATGATCTGTGTAAGATCTGTATATGATCTGTGTATTTCAGATGGAGAGAATGTGCTGAGATCACATCAACACCATACGCTGCTTTACTGGCACTCTGGCTGGACGTCTCACACGTTTATGAGTGGGATATGAATTGATGAATTGTATGAAAACATGTTTGGGTCCAAAGCCAAAAGTAGATTAAAACATTAGACAAAAAGCTTTTAGCTATTTTTAGGCTATGTTTTTTGCATTTTGACCTTGTTTTCATGACAATTAAGCACATTTATCAAAAGCTAATATTGTTACATTCATTAATCTGAAGGAAGACTCCAAGGATGAGTTTATTTTATTTTATTAAAATTAGCTTAAAGTCAGTACAACACGATGATGAAGTTTACTGCAGTGAGACCCAGTACTCTGTGGAGGCGAGGGGTGTGTCAGAGGTCAGGGGTCAGGGGGCTAATTTAGCGGATACAGCTCATTACAGATAATGACAAAGCAACGCATGAAGGGTGTGCCAACAGCTTCCAGAAAATTCCACAGTAAAACAGCTCGGGGGCCGGCGGGGGTAGAGACCTTATTTTGGGACTGTGTGTGGAAAATTCAGTCCCAGAGAGAACGCTTATCAATTATCAAAACACAGGGAGGAGAGCACTTTCATAATGCTCAGCTCTCCTTTCTACTGTGTGAACAGTTCTGTTTCTAAGCGCACTTTAAAAAAGACTTAATACGGAAATATTATAGATTTAAAGAATGACTGAAAAATGCTAAATTAATGTCATATTAACCACAATTACATGTTTAAATACATTGATATTAAATGCAATCATCTGAACTTCAGACTGTTGTTGTTTTTTACCCAGTTAAACAGGACTTGAGTACATCTTCATATGTAATTTCATAATTACATCTATTACCTTTGAAATATGGTTAAAGTTACTGATGAATGTACTGACAACCATTTATGATAAACTAAAATATACTGTAATGTAATATTTATTCAAACTTGTATGTCATGTTTCTCATTATTTCTAATTCATATAGTAGATTTTAATCATAGTAACTTTAAATGTAATATTGGCTAACACACTATAGATGCAATTATAATCCTGTTTAGAAACGGTCATTAACCCCTTAGCTGTCACCCCCCTTTTTGAGAATGGGGGTTAAAATGCACTATTCAAACTTAAATGGTTGTAATTTAAGAATGCTTTGGAATATACCCAAGTTTGGTCTTGTTTTAAAGAAAACACTCAGCAGATTATTGCTGAAGTGAAAACACTTCAAAAAATGAAAGTATGAAAAAGTTATGGAAGTTTAAATTTACAGTAAATTAAATATACTGTACTATATATTTTTTTATTTTATATAAAATATATATTTTATAAAATATTTTTTACTCTAAAATTTCTATAAAATCAAATCCATACATCTTATCAAGTTATGTTCCAAATTTGAAGTTGATATCACAAAAATTGAAGTTCCCATGAGATTTTGTTTAGGCGTAGTACCAAAAATAGCCACCGGGTGCCATTGAATTCCATTGAATTTTTTTGTATACATTCTGCCTTAACAAATTAATACATTTCTGTCCAAATATCAATTCTGTCACAAAATTTGGAACCTTAAGACTATAATGATGGCCAAAAGGGGAGGAGCCTGATAAAATAAGTACCGTTTCTATGGTAACGCAACTTTCAATTATAAAACAGTTTTCACACGATGAATTCTGAGTTTATAAGCTTTCAAATGATACCTAATTTATGATAACTACTAAAATATGTGATATAATAAAAAAAGGCGATAAAAAATAATTTTATATTTTAGAGGATAATAAATATAAATATTATCATTTTTAGAGGATAATATTGTACTATAATTTTTTATTGAAAAATACTAGATTATATGTTTATTATGAACTTTTAGCATAAAAACAGAAGTTTCAATGATTAAAAGTGGGTTCATCAACTTTTTGTGACAACGGTCAAAACTCCTGTTATGATGCAGATTTTTTGAGGTGCACTCTTGTCATAAATTCATCAATTACTCTTCCTACATCATTTTTAACACAAAACAGGGGTAGAATATCTATTTAGAAGTCTTAGACCTTTCCAACAATATATAATTTGTCATAATTAGATTAGGATTTAATAGAAATATAGTGAAGTAAAGTGAGGCGTCCCGGTACCGGGACGGTGACAGTTAAGGGGTTAAAGTTTTTCATTAAAATTATATTTTTTTTGCAAGCACAGTTTTGAAGTACACTACAAGTGCATGTTTAATACAATCAGGCACACTTCTTTTTAACTGTAAAAATGTCATGATTTCGTTTTTCCTGAGCATTTGTCAGCCTCGCACTAGTCCTCAGAGTTAAACAGGCTGTGCCTTTAAGACTTCTATATGAACATGAGGTCAAAAGACAGTGAGATGACCGGGGAGCGTTTGAGTGGCCGACACACACACCTGCACCACTCCCATACAGGAGTCCAGGAAGATGGTTCCTTTGGGCTCTTTGTTGATCTTCTCATCCTTGTAGAAGTTGAGATTATATGAGCCGTCGCCCAACTGCGTCAGGTGGAAATACCTTCTTTTGAAAGACTGAGAGAAAAAATAAAAGAGTGTACAGTAAATGAGACTAAGTGCAAAGTCATAATAACATAATGTTCAGAAGAGAGGAATCTCACCCTCATGGTGACGCTGATGGCGCTGTTCACGTTGCCTTTGTGTAGCCAACCCTGTTTAATGAGGCCACCCTTCTGAGAGCCAAGAGAGGCCGTGTCCTGCACACACACACACACACACGAGATGTTTGATCCCACAGATTGAACAAAGTGGGAGTCAAATTAGAGAGAAAGAACAGAATCCAGACCCACAACTGAACAGAACCTCAGATAAACCTGACGCAAAGAACGACACAGAACATTTGATAAACATTAAACAATCAGAAATGTTTCTAAATAATCTATATCTAAACTTTTGACTGGTAGCGTGAGTCTAATTTGTTTGGGTATAGAGAATGTTTTAGACAGAGAGGACCACATCTGGAGAACTGCACGCTATGAATTACATTTTACAAATTGGCAATCTTAATTTCTATGAAAACTTATTTGATTTAGTTATCCTTTTTTAAATGAGCGTGAAGGTCTACCCATGACCTATGAATGTAACCCTCACCGGGACATAGACAGTGCCAAAGGTATTCGCCAAAGTGTACGGCATAAAATAATTATGAATTGCCATGAGACTATGTTGGTATGTTAAGGTAAGAAACAAAATGTATAATATTTGAGAAAAGATGTATTAAAAAAGGAGAAATAATCAGCGAATCTGTTGTGTACGGCCTGTTTACATCAAGGACGATACCGATAACAATAAAGATAAAGATCTGAATATAAAAGGATAGCCAAGTCCACACCACAACTATGATAACGACACGGAGAAACAATATCGTAGGAATCACTTTCAGAGCCATTTTATTTCCAGCTGATGACCTAATAAAAAGCCAATCCGAATTCATCCTGCTTTTAAAGGGGCAGATGACGTAACTTTATGGATGCTAATATAATGATAGTTATAATGTTACAGTGACGGTGACTGTGAATGTCTTTCAGCCGTGAAACGTGTGCTGAAAAAACCCCCAAGAACAAGAGATGGTTAAACCTGGTACAATGGGTCAAACTGCCTCTGAATCACCAGTTAAACACTCCTTATTGCTGTACTCTTGACACTCTGCAGACACACACACACCACCCAGATGAAATGCTTGTGCTGTGTGTGTGGGCAGAGGAGTAGACCTCACAGAACAAACACTATCTGGGCTTTCGGTCAGCAGATCTCAGGATACAGCCAGAGTCCTGGACAGTGAACGTGAAAGTGTTTTCATCAGGATTACAGGACTCATATAGTCTGATATAGTGAGAATGTCTTATTATAGGACTCATATAGACTGATATAGTGAGAATGTCTTATTATAGGACTCATATAGTCTGATATAGTGAGAATGTCTTATTATAGGACTCATATAGTCTGATATAGTGAGAATGTCTTATTATAGGACTCATATAGTCTGATATAGTGATAATGTCTTATTATAGGACTCATATAGTCTGATATAGTGAGAATGTCTTATTATAGGACTCATATAGTCTGATATAGTGATAATGTCTTATTATAGGACTCATATAGTCTGATATAGTGATAATGTCTTATTATAGGACTCATATAGTGATAATGTCTTATTATAGGACTCATAAAGTCTGATCTAGTGGGAATGTCTTATTATAGGACTCATATAGTCTGATATAGTGGGAATGTCTTATTATAGGACCCATATAGTCTGATATAGTGGGAATGTCTTATTATAGGACTCATATAGTCTGATATAGTGAGAATGTCTTATTATAGGACTCATATAGTCTGATATAGTGATAATGTCTTATTATAGGACTCATATAGTCTGATATAGTGATAATGTCTTATTATAGGACTCATATAGTCTGATCTAGTGGGAATGTCTTATTATAGGACTCATATAGTCTGATATAGTGGGAATGTCTTATTATAGGACTCATATAGTCTGATATAGTGGGAATGTCTTATTATAGGACTCATATAGTCTGATATAGTGATAATGTCTTATTATAGGACTCATATAGACTGATATAGTGAGAATGTCTTATTATAGGACTCATATAGTCTGATCTAGTGGGAATGTCTTATTATAGGACTCATATAGACTGATATAGTGAGAATGTCTTATTATAGGACTCATATAGACTGATATAGTGAGAATGTCTTATTATAGGACTCATATAGTCTGATATAGTGGGAATGTCTTATTATAGGACCCATATAGTCTGATATAGTGGGAATGTCTTATTATAGGACTCATATAGTCTGATATAGTGGGAATGTCTTATTATAGGACTCGTATAGTCTGATATAGTGGGAATGTCTTATTATAGGACTCGTATAGTCTGATATAGTGAGAATGTCTTATTATAGGACCCATATAGTCTGATATAGTGGGAATGTCTTATTGTAGGACTCATATAGTCTGATATAGTGGGAATGTCTTATTATAGGACTCGTATAGTCTGATATAGTGGGAATGTCTTATTATAGGACTCATATAGTCTGATATAGTGAGAATGTCTTATAGGACTCGTATAGTCTGATATAGTGATAATGTCTTATTACAGGACTCATATAGTCTGATATAGTGATAATGTCTTATTATAGGACTCGTGTAGTCTGATATAGTGGGAATGTCTTATTATAGGACTCATATAGTCTGATCTAGTGGGAATGTCTTATTATAGGACTCGTATAGTCTGATATAGTGATAATGTCTTATTATAGGACTCATATAGTCTGATATAGTGGGAATGTCTTATTATAGGACTCATAAAGTCTGATCTAGTGGGAATGTCTTATTATAGGACTCATATAGTCTGATATAGTGGGAATGTTTTATTATAGGACTCATATAGTCTGATATAGTGAGAATGTCTTATTATAGGACTCATATAGTCTGATATAGTGGGAATGTCTTATTATAGGACTCGTGTAGTCTGATATAGTGGGAATGTTTTATTATAGGACTCATATAGTCTGATATAGTGAGAATGTCTTATTATAGGACTCATATAGTCTGATATAGTGGGAATGTCTTATTATAGGACTCATATAGTCTGATATAGTGAGAATGTCTTATTATAGGACTCGTATAGTCTGATATAGTGGGAATGTCTTATTATAGGACTCATATAGTCTGATATAGTGATAATGTCTTATTATAGGACTCATATAGTCTGATATAGTGATAATGTCTTATTATAGGACTCATATAGTCTGATATAGTGATAATGTCTTATTATAGGACTCATATAGTCTGATATAGTGATAATGTCTTATTATAGGACTCATATAGTCTGATATAGTGATAATGTCTTATTATAGGACTCATATAGTGATAATGTCTTATTATAGGACTCATAAAGTCTGATCTAGTGGGAATGTCTTATTATAGGACTCATATAGTCTGATATAGTGGGAATGTCTTATTATAGGACCCATATAGTCTGATATAGTGGGAATGTCTTATTATAGGACTCATATAGACTGATATAGTGAGAATGTCTTATTATAGGACTCATATAGTCTGATATAGCGGGAATGTCTTATTATAGGACTCATATAGTCTGATATAGCGGGAATGTCTTATTATAGGACTCATATAGTCTGATATAGTGAGAATGTCTTATTATAGGACTCATATAGACTGATATAGTGAGAATGTCTTATTATAGGACTCATATAGACTGATATAGTGAGAATGTCTTATTATAGGACTCATATAGTCTGATATAGCGGGAATGTCTTATTATAGGACTCATATAGTCTGATATAGTGGGAATGTCTTATTATAGGACCCATATAGTCTGATATAGTGGGAATGTCTTATTATAGGACTCATATAGTCTGATATAGTGGGAATGTCTTATTATAGGACTCGTATAGTCTGATATAGTGGGAATGTCTTATTATAGGACTCGTATAGTCTGATATAGTGAGAATGTCTTATTATAGGACCCATATAGTCTGATATAGTGGGAATGTCTTATTGTAGGACTCATATAGTCTGATATAGTGGGAATGTCTTATTATAGGACTCGTATAGTCTGATATAGTGGGAATGTCTTATTATAGGACTCATATAGTCTGATATAGTGAGAATGTCTTATAGGACTCGTATAGTCTGATATAGTGATAATGTCTTATTACAGGACTCATATAGTCTGATATAGTGATAATGTCTTATTATAGGACTCGTGTAGTCTGATATAGTGGGAATGTCTTATTATAGGACTCATATAGTCTGATCTAGTGGGAATGTCTTATTATAGGACTCGTATAGTCTGATATAGTGATAATGTCTTATTATAGGACTCATATAGTCTGATATAGTGGGAATGTCTTATTATAGGACTCATAAAGTCTGATCTAGTGGGAATGTCTTATTATAGGACTCATATAGTCTGATATAGTGGGAATGTTTTATTATAGGACTCATATAGTCTGATATAGTGAGAATGTCTTATTATAGGACTCATATAGTCTGATATAGTGGGAATGTCTTATTATAGGACTCGTGTAGTCTGATATAGTGGGAATGTTTTATTATAGGACTCATATAGTCTGATATAGTGAGAATGTCTTATTATAGGACTCGTATAGTCTGATATAGTGGGAATGTCTTATTATAGGACTCATATAGTCTGATATAGTGGGAATGTCTTATTATAGGACTCATATAGTCTGATATAGTGAGAATGTCTTATTATAGGACTCGTATAGTCTGATATAGTGGGAATGTCTTATTATAGGACTCATATAGTCTGATATAGTGATAATGTCTTATTATAGGACTCATATAGTCTGATATAGTGATAATGTCTTATTATAGGACTCATATAGTCTGATATAGTGATAATGTCTTATTATAGGACTCATATAGTCTGATATAGTGATAATGTCTTATTATAGGACTCATATAGTGATAATGTCTTATTATAGGACTCATAAAGTCTGATCTAGTGGGAATGTCTTATTATAGGACTCATATAGTCTGATATAGTGGGAATGTCTTATTATAGGACCCATATAGTCTGATATAGTGGGAATGTCTTATTATAGGACTCATATAGACTGATATAGTGAGAATGTCTTATTATAGGACTCATATAGTCTGATATAGCGGGAATGTCTTATTATAGGA